AGTGTAGGCTAAACATTTTTCATGGTACATGGTCATCATATCAAAATTTCCAACGCGTATTTTATTTAAACCTTATATACGATCTAATTAGTATCATAACTCATATAAAATCTCTATTTTGTAGAGAAATGGGAACACATAAGGTCTCAAACCTCTTTAATTTTTATAATATGTCAGTTCATGAAGAAAATATGCATTAAAACAAAAAAAAAAATTTCTAACTTTTCTTAAAATGTGTGGGTTAACACCTTTAAAAAAATTGAATTTTCCGATAAATACTAGTTTTAATATTTAAACACTTTAATGTTGTTTAAAAATACCAAACCACACTCTCAATGTATATTAGTGTAAAATAAACATATTTTCATGGTACATGGTCATCATTTCTAATTTTCCAACGAGTAATTTATTTAAACTTCATATACGATCTAATTAGTGTAGTAACCCCTATAAAAACTTTTATTTCTTGAGAAATTAGAACATATAAGGTCTGAAACCTCTTTAATCTTCAAACTATGTCCAATCATGAAGAAAATATGCATTAAAACAGAAATAAAAAAATTTCTTATTTTTTTCAAATATGTAGGTTAAACCCCTTTAATTTTCTAATAAATGCTATCTATAATTTTTAAACATTTTTGTGTTGTTTAAAAATACCAAACCACACTCTAAAATGTGTATTAATGTAGTCTAAATATATTTTCATGGTACATGGTCATCATATCTAACTTTCCAAAGCGTAGTTTATTTAAACTTGATATACGATCTAATTAGTGTCATAACCCCTATAAAATCTCTATTTTGTATTGAAATGACATAAGGTCTCAAACCTCTTTAATCTTCATAATATGTTATTTCATGATTCAAATATGCATTAAACAAAAAAAAAAAAAAAATCTAATTTTTCTTGAAATATGTGGGTTAACCCCTTTGAAAAAAATGAATTTTCTGATAAATGCTATTTAATAATTTTTAAACACTTTGGTGTTGTTTAAAAATACCAAACCAAACTCTCAATGTATATTAGTGTAGTCTAAACATATTTTCATTTCTAATTTTCAACCGAGTAATTTATTTAAACTTCATATACGATCTAGTTAGTGTACTAACCCCTATAAAATCCATATTTTCTAAATAAATGAGAACACAAAAGGTCTCAAACCTCTTTAATTTTCATAATATATTTTTTCATGATTTAAATATTAAATTTAACAAAAATAAAAAAATTTCTAATTTTCTGAAATATGCGGATTAACCCCTTTGAGAAAAGTTGAATTTTTCTATAATGCTATCTACAATTTTTAGACAATTTAGTGTGGTTTAAAAATACCAAACCACACTCTCAGTGTATATTAATTTAGTCTAAACATACTTTCAAGATACATGTTCATCATTTCTAACTTTCCAACGAGTAATTTATTTAAACTGCATATATGTTCTAATTAGTGTACTAACCTCTATAAAATCTCTATTTTCTAGAGAAATGGAAACACAGAAGGTCTCAAACCTCTTTAATCTTCATAATATGTCGGACCATGATGAAAATATGCATTAAAACAAAAATACAAAATTTTCTAATTTTTCTTGAAATATGTGGGTTAACACCTTTAAAAAAATTGAATTTTCCGATAGATGCTAGTTATAATTTTTAGACTCTTTAGTGTTGTTTAAAAATACCAAAACACAGTCTCAATGTATATTAATGTATTCTAAACATATTTCATGGTACATGGGCATCATATCTAACTTTCCGACGCGTAGTTTATTTAAACTTGATATACGATCTTAATTCGTGTCATAACCCCTATAAAATCTCTATTTTGTAGAGAAATGGGAACACATAAGGTCTCAAACATATTTAACCTTCATAATTTCTCAATTCATGATGCAAATATGCATTAAAACAAAAATGAAAAAAAATTCTAATTTTTCTTGAAATATGTGGGTTAATAGACCCCCTTTGAAAAATTAAATTTTCCGATAAATGCTAGTTATAATTTTTAGACACTGAAGTTTAGTTTAAAAATACTTATCCACACTCTCAATGTATATTAATGTTGTCTAAACATATTTTAATGATGCATGGTCATCATATCTAACTTTCCAACACGTAGTTTACTTAAACATGATATACGATCTAATTAGTGTCATAACCCCTATAAAATCTCCATGTTGTAGAGAAATGGGAAGACATAAGGTCTCAAACCTATTTAATCTTCATATGTCAGTTCATGATCAAATATGCATTAAAACAAAAATAAAAAAAATTTGTAATTTTTCTTGAAATATGTGGGTTAACCCCTTTGAAAAAATTAAATTTTCTTATAAACATTATTTATAATTTTTAAATACTTTAGTCTTGTTTAAAAAATATCAAACCACACTCTCAATATTTATTAATGTAGGCTAAACATTTTTTCATGGTACATGGTCATCATTTCTAACTTTCCAACCAGTAATTTATTTAAACTTCATAGACGATCTAATTAGTGTACTAACCCCTATAAATCTCTATTTTCTAGAAAAGTGAGAACACAGAAGGTCTCAAACCTCTTTAATTTTCATAATATATCGGTTCATGAAGAAAATATGCATTAATACAAAAATACAAAATTTTCTAATTTTTTTTGAAATATGTGGGTTAACCACTTTGAAAAAATTGAATTTTTTGATAAATGATATCTACAATTTTTAGACAATTTAGTGTGGTTTAAAAATACCAAACCACACTCTCAATGTATATTAATTTAGTCTAAACATACTTTCCTGATACATGTTCATCATTTCTAACTTTCCAACGAGTAATTTATTTAAGCTTCATATACGTTCTAATTAGTATACTAACCCCTATAAAATCTTTATTTTCTAGAGAAATGGAAACACAGAAGGTCTCAAACCTCTTTAATCTTCATACTATGTCGGAGCATGGTAGAAATATGCATTAAAATACAACATTTTCTAATTTTTCTTGAAATATGTGGGTTAACACCTTTGAAAAAATTGAATTTTCCGATAAATGATAGTTATAATTTTTAGACACTTTAGTGTTGTTTAAAAATACCAAACCACACTCTCAATGTATATTTATGTAATCTTAGACATATTTAATCTTCATACTAATTAATTTCGTGATGCAAATGTTCATTAAAACAAAAATTCCAAATTTTCTATTTTTTCTTGAAATATGTGTGTTAACCAATATGAAAATTTTGAATTTTCCGATAAGTGCTTTATATAATTTTTGGACACTTTAGTGTAGTTTAAAAATACTTATACACACTCTCAATATATATTAATGTTGTCTAAACATATTTTCATGGTACATGGTCATCACATCTAAATTTCCAACGCGTAGTTTATTTAAACTTGATATACGATCTTATTCGTGTCAGAAGCCCTATAAAATATCTATTTTGTAGAGAAATGGGAACACATAAGGTCTAAAACCTCTTTAATCTTCATAATTTGTCAATTCATGATGAAAAATATGCATTAAAACAAAAATAAATAAAAAATTAATTTTTCTTGAAATATGTGGGTTAATAAACGCCCTTTGAAAAATTTGAATTTTTCGATAATGCTAGTTATAATTTTTAGACACTTTAGTGTTGTTTAAAAATACCAAACCACACTCTCAAGGTATATTAATGTAGTCTAAACATACTTTCATGGTACATGGTCATCATATCTAACTTTCCAACACGTAGTTTATTTAAACTTGATATACGGTCTAATTAGTGTCATAACCCGTATAAAATCTCTATTTATTGGAGAAATGGGAACACATAAGGTTTCAAACCTCTTTAATCTTCATAATATGTCAGTTCATGATTAAAATATGTATTAAAACAAAAATAAATTGGTTAATGGGTCTTTAAATAAGTATATTATCAAGGATTATATGTTTTGAAATTTTCAAAAAATCATAGGGATTAACCCACGACCTCGAAAAAATTGGTGAATTTTAGCATTATCCTTAGGAGACGACAAATCATTTTCAAAACGGTTGTTAAGAAGTTTTAACACTACAATTTGGTTGATGGGTCTTTAAATAAATATACTAGCAAGGACTACATGTTTTGAAATTTTCATAAATCTATAAGGATTAGCCCACGACCTTGAAAACTTTGATGGATTTTTACGTTATCCTCAGGAGTCGACGAAACATTTTCAAAATGGTTGTTACACAGTTTCAACATTATAATGTGGTTAATGGATCTTCTACTAACAAAGAATACATATTTTGAAATTTTCATAAATTCATAGGAAGTTGTATTAAAAGAATTCAAATGCAACTCGATTCTAATTCAATATTAATTGATTTATGGTTTGGATTTGGTTCATTAACAACTACACAAATCAAAACACTTACTAATTAGATATGTCATATGGGGTTTTCTCAAAACTCCAGCATCACATGTTGGCCGTTTGTAAGGAAAACACATCATTATCAGGCCCAGATTCAAATAAATGAATATGCACCATTAGCAGGAAAACACATCTTATGATTCAGCTCGTGTGTTCTCGACTTGACTTCGATTCACTCGCTTTCGGAATGTAATATATGGCGACATGTCACATGTCCTACACTGAATGATTTCAAGAGTCTCAATCTAACTTGGGTTGTGTTGTACTTTAATGTTCAAAATGGGGCCGACAAAACACGACCACTCCTTCTTATGGATCCTTTTAACTTTCTCATGGGTCAAATTAAGAAGGCCCACAAAACACTTCAGATTATTTTGAAGAAATAAAAACACAACATCAAATGATGTTTGATTAATTTACATATAAGCGGGAATAATCAATCAAATCAGTTTTCTTTTTGTTTTTTTCTTTCAAAGAATCATATTCCGTAAGTATTATATTTGAAATATTGTTTGCGAATTGATTCACATTACAATGGAGGCGTAAGAATAATTGGATCTAACTACGTGGAGAAATACACATTCTACATGTCTTTTCAGTAGATAGCTACGAATATTCACTACTCTAATATAAAAACTCATCACTCATTTAGCAAAAGAAACACAAAACTCAGTCATGGCTAGCCGGAGAGAAGTACGTTGCCGTTGTGGTAGATGGATGTGGGCTCAACCTGGAGTCAGTTCCATCCAATGCTCAACTTGCCATACCGTCACAAACCTCTCCTCCCTCGTGGACATAGCTCGTGGTGCAAACCGCGTGCTTCAAGGGCTTCAACAGCTACGTAGGCAACACAAACAACAGCCACCGCAGTATCAGTTTCAACAACAGCCAATAATGGCTCAACCACCGCCACCACCACCGAGGCTTCTCGAGCCTCTTCCTTCACCGTTTGGGAAGAAGAGAGCTGTTTTATGCGGCTTGGATTATAAGGGGAAAAGCTATGGCTTGAAAGGTTGCATCAGTGATGCAAAGTCCATGAGATCTTTCTTGGTTCAGAAAATGGGTTTCCCTATTGACTCTATTCTCATGCTCACAGGTTGTTCTTTCTCTAGTTTTATACAGCTAATGTTCTTTTTCTTTCCCTGATGATCGGTCCGTCCTGGACAAAGTCATATGAAACAATTGGCCTTACATCCCAAAACTTTTGAAAAAAATTCACATAAATGTAGACCAAACAATTATTTTAAGGCCGGCAAATTTGTAAAAAGAAAAAATCAATATTTAATTAATTGCCTATAGCCCCAGGGTCTGCCTTGTTGATTAGGCATGGACGTTCGATGGTCCATTCGGTTTCGATCCGGGTGATTTGAATTTTCGGTGTTATGTTTAGAAGTATCATTCGGTTTTTACTAATTACTGGATCGGGTTTGGTTTAGTTCCTTCTGGATTCGGTTCGGATCCGATCTGACCAATGTTTACCATCGTCCAAAAATATATTTTTTTAAACCGCAAAAATTGACAAAAACACAAAATCAAAATATATAAATTATTTATTAATCTAACTAAAAATTATTTAAACTAGCTAAACTAACTAAAAAGTATTCAAAATAACAAATAAAACAAACTACAAAAATATTTTGAATACTCTAAAATATCTAAATCACCTTAACATATATAAAAACATTAACATACTTGACTAATTTCGGATCTTAATTCGAATTTCGGTTCGCTTCGGATTATAACCAAAGTCCGAAAGTAGTAAGCTCATAAGTCCCGTTCGGATATTTTTGTAAAACAGTTCGGATTCGGTTTCGGTTTTTCCCGTTCGGGTTGAGATAAAAACGCCCAGGCCTATTGCTGATGATGAGTGTTTGTTGTTGTTGCAGAAGATGAAGCCAGTCCACAGAGAATACCAACTAAGAAAAACATTAGAAAGGCCATGAGATGGTTAGTTGAAGGAAACAGAGCAAGAGACTCACTTGTGTTCCACTACTCTGGTCATGGATCTCAGCAGAAAGACTACAACGGAGACGAGGTTGATGGTCAAGATGAAGCTTTGTGCCCTTTAGACCATGAGACAGAAGGAAAAATCATTGATGATGAGATTAACAAGATACTCGTGAGGCCGCTTGTCCATGGAGCTAAGCTTCACGCTGTCATAGACGCTTGTAACAGTGGGACTGTCCTTGATTTACCCTCCGTTTGTAGGATGGAGAGGTACATTTCTCCTCAATTATACTTGACAAAACCTGAGACTAATCTTTTGTGTGTGTGTGAATGAAAAAAATCAGGAATGGTTTTTATGAATGGGAACATCAAAGAGCAGGGAGGACTTACAAAGGAACAGATGGTGGAGTAGCTATATGTTTCAGTGCTTGTGATGATCATGAAGCTAGTGGTTACACTCCTGTACGTTTAAAAAGCCTTTTTATAATTTCATACACTTCTCTGAACGTTACCTGTCTCAATCATTACATTGCTGCTAGGTCTTCACGGGGAAGAATGCAGGAGCCATGACTTATAGCTTCATAAAGGCGGTGAAGACAGCTGGACCAGCACCAACGTACGGTCACCTGCTTAACCTCATGTGTTCTGCTATACGAGAGGCTCAATCTCGCCTCGCCAGTGATGGGAACTACACAAGCCCTGATGAGACTGCGGTATGAACTTAAACTTGTAGTATCAGAAACTTTGCATTATTCTGAATGATTGAATCATTTTCCTTCCTGTGTTTTCTGCAGGAGCCACTCCTAACATCATCTGAAGAATTCAACATATATGCTACAAAGTTTGTGCTTTAAAGGCTGTCACCTATTCTACAAATAACTACTAAGTATACATCTTCTTAATCTATGTAATGATATGTCTACAGCTTACTTGTGAAAGCTGCAACAAGTGTCCCTTCTTTTAATAAATAAAGCTATGAAACTATTGAGGTTCCCATGATTAGTTATAGAAACTGAATATGAAATGAAGATGTGTGGAGAATATATTATTAAATACCATAAATAAGGTATGGTTGTAAAAGGACGAAATACACAGTAAGAACATTATATTTCTCCACAGCAAACAACACAGGATATCCAGAAGGGGTACCTTATTATATACAAAGATAATACCATCCGCATCTGATTCCAAAAGTAGTAAAGTTTTTTTTTGTGAGGTTGCAACTGCATCATGTAGAATTACTGAACTTTTTGAGGATCAGAAGCTGAGTTTCTTCCACAAGACTTTTCACTACTTTTCCAGCTGGTAAAATCTCTTTGATGAGGCCAACGCTTTGCCCTGCATACATCGCCATACTCTCTAAATCACCCGTTGTTGTCATGTTTGGTACAGTTCCTGCAAATCTTCTTATCTCCTTTTCCTGTAGTGACATTCATAAGAGCAAAGACCATAGAGGGAGGAAAAGAAAACCTTACTAAAATGAAACTTACAACGCCATGTATGGTGGAACGTCCAATAATAGGTTGGTTAACTTCATTTTCATCGGTATGTAGAGATCTCCAGTCATCAAAGAAAGGTGTCTGCAGAACACGTTGTGGCGCACCAGGCCACCTTGCACGTCCAAAGATATCTGTGTACTCGGTTTTTTCATATTCTATCAACTTCCTTTTGTATATTGGGTGTGCGTAGCTCTCATTAGTCGCCACAAACCTAAAAACAAAACCTCTAACTCAAGCCCAAACAAACTCATATATAAGCATGTGCAAAAATAAGAAGAGCACACAAACCTGGTGCCTAGACAGACACCTTGAGCACCAAGTGACAAAGCTGCAACATAGCCACGTGCATCAACAATCCCTCCAGCAGCGATAACCGGAATATCACATTCCTTAACCAGATCAACTACTCTTGGCAACAATGAAAAGAGACTATCCTGAAAGAAGAAAACACAATGATGATGATGATAATATCAAACATTTAAAATAAGAGTTATGCAAAATATAAAAAACTTAGCTTACCTTCCCACGAACATGCCCACCTGCTTCATGCCCTTGAACAATAATAGCATCTACTCCTACATCAACAGCCTTTCTAGCTTCTTCAACACTCCCCACCTTAAAAAAAAAATGTAACTAAAGAGGATCAGACTTGCTGATACATCTATCAAGAAACCAAAACTCTTTACCTGAGGAACAACTTTGACTCCAGCACGGTGAGCATCATCCACAAGCTCCTTGGAACACTCACCCCAATAAAGCTGTAACACAGCAACCTTCTCTTCCAAGATTGTCTTAATGTTGAGATCATGAGGGAACGCGAGAACAACACCGATCCCGAATGGTTTGTCAGTCAATGTCTTGGTCTTCCGTATAATATCTCTCACATAATCAGGACACTCCTGGTTCAGTTTGCAATCAAAACAACCAATGTACAAGAAATTGTTAGGTGGAAGTTAGACGCTTTGTATGGGATTATTGATTAGTCAGGAGTCTAGACCAACTATTTAAATGTAGCTCTAGAAAACTATTTCATTTAAGTTCTATTTAACTAGTATGCGGCACCGATTTTTAGAACACTCCTGATTCGATACACAATCAAAACTATCAATGTTCAAGAAATCGTTAGGCGCTTTATATAGGATTATTGATTAGTTTGGCGCCAACGTTTTAAATGTAACTCTAGAAAAATCGTTAAGAGGTAGTTAGACACTTTAGATGGGCTTATTGATTAGTCAGGAGCCTAGACAGACTTTTTAAATGTAGCTCTGGAAAAATATTTCATTTCAGTCCTCATTTAAGTAGTATGCGGCCGTATAGACTGATTTTTAGAACACTCCTGATTCGATTCACAATCAAAACTATCAATGTTCAAGAAATCGTTAGGCGGTAGTTAAGCGCTTTATATAGGATTATTGATTAGTTTGGCGCCAACTTTTTAAATGTAACTCTAGAAAATTAGTTTTATTTAGATCCTATTCTGACTACTCCACCATATAGACCAGATTTTTATTCGATTCACAATCAAAACTACCAATGTTCAAGAAATCGTTAGGCGGTAGTTAGACGCTTTATATAGAATTATTGATTAGTCTGGCGCCAACTTTTTAAATGTAGCTCTAGAAAAATAGTTTTATTTAGATCCTATTTACTGACTACTCAGCTGCATAGACCAATTTTTAGAACACTGATACAACAGTAGCCATGGAAAGAAACATAGTGGAGTTAATCAATTACCCAATCAGGACAACGGAGAAGACCGATTCCTCCGGCGTTAGCGACGGCGGCTACAAGCTCCGGACCGGAGATATCTGGTCCTAGTGGCGCTTGAACTATTCCGTATTCGAAACCAAGAATCCCTTTCAAAGCCATAGAGTCTTTTCACTTCCTTGTTGTGATCTTTATCTTCGTCTCTCTTTTATGTAGAAAACAGACAGAGTCCTAATCGAAATTGTCTTCGCCTTTCTTCTTCTCGATTTTTTTAAAGAGACTTTGCGAACACGTTGGTGAAGCTTTCGTCATCGATAGTGTTTTGACTCTGTCTCTCACTAGCGAGTGTTACATTTACTTTAGGCATTGTTCATCTCGATCGTCTTCTTTTACTCGTGCTCTTACGTTTACCAGAGCAGCTGATAGTTTAAAAAGCTCATACTGGGCTTTTAATTGCACTATTGGGCTTGCTTATAAAAGGCCCATGTTGCTCAATATAACCGAATTGTAATGATTCAAAAATCTATATAATAATAAATACACTTTTGAAGCTCCTCAGCGTGTCCACGTCAGCAAGTTTGCGGGTCCCGTACGTATTATTAGGAAAAACAAAAACGTATAACATTTTGTAAGATTGAATGTTATCGATGAGTGATGAAATAGCTCAGTGGTGTAAGTTGGTGACGAGAAGTTGGTACCGCGAGTGTGCGGGTTCGTAACGCAGTGCTTGCATGTAATTATTTTTTTTTTAATTTGGGCTTTTCGGGATACCTAAAAGCTTAGGGAGATTCAGAATGATTTTTTTATGCTGGTTGTTGGGGTGCAAAATGGCTTAAGGATTTGAAACTTTATGAGACCATCTTAGATACTTTTATAAGAAAGGTTATCATGTTCTAACCTCCAATATCATTTCAATTCAGTTATAATCATCAACTAAAATAAAAACATATTTTTCAATGATAAATATTTACCCCGAACCATTCAGATCGGCCATAAATCTCATATACATCACAATTAAAAAAAAAATATATATATATATATATACAACATAATTTCAGAAAGAAAATTACACTAATAAACAAATTTCCTTTTTTGTCTTGTCTCCATTAAATTATTTATACATGAAAGCACTAAAAACAGTAATGCTCGATAAAATCACTAATAAAGGAAATGCTCGATAAAATCACTACGAAGATAAAATATGAAAATATCAACCCATATGAATTCGATGTTTATTCTTTTATCAGACTAATCAAGTTGTGTGACTTCTAATGTTTCATTCATCATCATTACAGATAAACCAGATAAACAAATGTTAAAAAAAACAGCAAAATTTCATACACAAAACTATACAACACATCAACAACGTATCTAATCCCGCGCTTGCGCGGGAACTATGCATCTAGTCAATTCGAAGGATATACAAATCTAGTTTATGGTTTATTGCCCAATTCTTGTCACAATGATCGGGAAGATTCCAAGGAAGTTGACTCTTTAGTCTTAGGGATAAGGTATAATGAGTATGACATGATGATGATAATTGAGTTTGGTTGTATTATATGAACTTGATACATGTAAGAGGGGGTTGGTCTTCTCACCAAATCAACACGAACAAATGGTCGGTTGATCGACGGCACGATAATCTCCAAGTTTCGTCACATTTTTTATTCATAAATAAAACTACTGATTAAACAATTTAAAATATCAACTTGATAATGTCTTCATCATTGTTACGTGGGTTTTAAGCTTTGTTTTGGATTATTTTCTGACAAACTGTATGGTTTGATTTGTAAGAGATACGTGTTAATTTGTAATTAACATGCGTCGAGTGGTCTATATATAATTTTCTTATATGCCATACATATTTAAATGATTACCTATCTGGTTGGATATTTGGTTTTTGTTAGTGTTATTTATGCATTACTACCCGTATTAAAACTTATCCGTATCCACAACATATTGAAAAAAAGGACAAGTACTGTATGTGCATACGATGCTTCAGTCCCAAAAAAAAGAAGTTAGCATACCATGCAGATACAGATATTCACAAACCAAAAATCCAAACTTAAATCAAATGATGTAAATCAAAAGTGTATATTCTTAGTTAAGAGGTCTTACTTTTGCACCTAATTGATAGTAAAGAAAAACTATTTTCGATATTTATTTATGTGTTATCACGGAAATATAATTTCTTCTCCGTATCTCTCTTTTCCAAAGTTAATATTCTCTGCAAACTTACTTCGAGTGAGTGGCAAACAAACACAAAAAAACGTCGGTTCAAGTGATATGAAAGACAACAAAAGTTGACTTTATCTTTTGAAATTGTTCATATAGATCCAAATTCAGTTTTCAATTTATTAGGCTTAACTATTGTTTTGTCATTTTCACTATTTAGCATGCCATCACCGTAACAATCAAAAATTTGCTTCCACCATTAGTCAGATGTCATATCCCTAACCGTAATGTATAGTAACATATAGTCTAATAGTTTATTACAATTTTCTTAGTATTGGCTATTATGGTTTATTCTATGAAACATTCATTTCATACTAATCTTGTCATCGCGTCGGCCAACTATGTTGACTAATCCCCAAAAATACTTATTATTATCGGTATGAATCGTGTATGATCTTTCTTATCAGTGACATATAGACATAAATGTATACTTCCTAATATTCAAACACACATCATATATTAGCCATATGATCTAGCAAGTAGGTTACGTTCCGGGTCAAATGAAAGTACCTACTACGCTATGCAATCGAGTATAATTATTTTCCAGTTTCCATGAAACATGAAGTCCTTATTTTTGTTGTAGATTTGACAACGTATAGCAAATGCAATAAATGAGTGTGTATAGGTCACGTAAGACGGCCCATTGAGACATGTCTTGTAATTAGGACAACATCAATATCACGGAAAAATTGTACATGTAAAGAGATGACGTGGCCCGATATGAAAGGACAAGCCTGGATTAAAAGGCTAGTACGAACGAACAGCGCGTGGTTTCCACTCCCTTTCTCATTTTTTTTATCGTTTTTCCATGCCGACTATATTCGCACGTGAGACTCATTTGCCTTCTCTTCTACGCCTTTAAAAAAAAATTTATTTGTACCATTTCTTTTTGGATTTGATTGATTAGATATTTTCTTTAATGTTTTCCTTGTCTATTTGTAGGTTTGTCGTAAGTATGATTTTCACTCATTTCTCGTTAAAAAGTTATATTGTGAAAACTATATAGCTAACACTCGTGACACCGGTTATATGTATTTATCTCAACCCAGTGACATAAACCGAAAAGGTTGAGATGATGGCTACAAGAAATGTACTGGTCCTTGTGAATTTTGAACGTCGGCCAACAAATATATTTGGATATGTATGTTATATTCAGCGCAACCACTTTCTCTTTTAAAGTGCTCCTCGTATTATGATATAAGTTGGTATACGAAGTTACTATGAATTTGAATGCAGACTTCTTTTAGTCACCAATCATCATCTATCGGGAAGATACGACTATTTAATTATCAAAGTAATTAAACATTTTCTTATACTGACTTTGTTTGAGTAAGTCTACTATTGATTTGGTTCAAAAAAAAGTGTAGCTACCATCCATTTAGCGGTAACGGAACATAATGTTTTTTCACATGTTGTACACGTACATAGTTGGATACGAATTTATATTGTGTTTTCAGATGATAGAAAAATTTCACGAAATATCGTTATATTACAAAAACTGCATGCAGTAGTTTGATTTCACATAATTGGAGAAGGATAAAAAGTTCACGTGTAAATTAAAACGTAGTGGAAGAGCTAAGAGCATGTGCATTGAGGGTTCATAAGGAGTTTATAAGGAGATTCACACAGTTTTCTAGATGAACAGTGATGAACTTCTCTCTCCAAAAGTTCATCCCGGTGAACCCCAAGAGGGTGGAATTCACCACGTGTCGGAAGGGGATTGGTTCAACTAATTCTTTTTTATTTTTTTTTAAAAAAAAATCTGACAGAAAAAAATAAACTAATAAAATATTAAAAAGATGAACCCCAAGAGGGGTTCATTGATGTACATGCTCTAAGTGGATTGCTTCGAATCCTGTTACTCTGGAGTACTTCTGACACGTGACGTAGTTTCTTCATCTACATAGTGGATCACGTCCGACCAAAAGCTGAAGATCTAACGGCTGTGAGTTTACCCTCGTTTAAAAATCTAACCTTAAGATTGTTCTTTGAATCGGATACGAATTCGAGCTCCACTATAGGAAAAGTCCTCTCAATAAACGTGTATTTATATGGTTTGTGGAATAAAATATGAATACTTTTTTTTGCATTCCATCCACTTATATATTTCTTAAAATTTAGGTTCACAGATTTAAATATTTGAATTTCAGTACACAATATTCCAGAATTTTTTTCAGCTTTTCGCTAAACAAATCAATGAGAGTTTTTCAAAATAAAGTTAAAGCTAAAGGTGAAAGAAACGATGGAGTAATGTGGCCTACAGATTTAAAAGGCAATAATGGACTGTAAGGGCGTGGTTCATACGCATCGTAGAGACGTATCTAGCACTAGATTCACACTGACTACTCAAGTGCACCGTATATTTCAATACATAAACCTGAATATATATATAAGTCTATATAATTGTACATGGTATAAAATAAAATTACATAAGTAAATACGTATGGCTCTGTGGTCCACAAAGACCAAAGGTAGACCCAAAGAGGTGCCTCCCCCCAAGTAAAACGATCATCACACGGTATCAGGAGGTCCCCTATACTGTTCAATGTATTAAACACACAATAATCTTTATACTACCTTTTAAATCAAATGTTGAAATGCGTAATGTCTACTTCTAGAACGGCTAAACAATCACTGTTCAATGTATTTGCGTATTGATCGTTTGGCATGGCCCATAATGCGAGGAGTGGGAAAAAAGTGGTACCGAAAGCTTTTAAAAATGTCTACTTGTTGGCTGGTGACCAGAATCATATGAAATTTTTGGAATATGCTTTTGCTAAGGGAATGGACCAATAAATAATTTATCACTTTGTACTTAACACTATATCTCAAAAACTAAAACTAGTCTTAAAACCTGTTTTTGACCATAGATACGCGTTCAATGAATGTTAACTTTGGAATTAAAAATAAGATCACTTATATAGAAGCATTTTTTTTAAGTATCCAGTTGATTTAATTAATCACTACTACCTTTAAATACTAGCTTGAGCGGCATTTTGTATCGAGGTTAAAATTAAAGTGTGGTTTTGCATTAAACTATACTCGGTTTGTATTTAATTATAAACCTTCAGAGTTTTCATAGCCATGAGTTTTGAGACAATACAGTATATGACAGCTTGAAAACATTTTTTAAGCTATAACATGAAAAATTTATCTTAATAAACAAACCTTCAAAGTTTTCATAGCCATGAGTTTTGAGACTATACAGTATATGACAGCTTGAAAACATTTTTTTAAGCTATAACATGAAAAAAAATTATCTTAATAATATTGCTTTTATTTCTTCAATATTCATAGCTGTATTTTATACAAATGTGCATGAAAAAGCCTGTCTCTCCGTATGGCGCTTGTCATAAGAATTAAACCTAACTACATATTTTAATGAACAAACTAATAACAAATTTATCGGCTAAAAGCATCACTTAAATTTAATACACGTTATGGAAGACTACCACGTCACACAAACAGAACCTCACAGGCTGTCAACACACTCTTCCGCACCATTCAAACACTCCCACGTGGCACTCTCTGACATTGACACATTTGCATCTACAGCTGTCGTAAAACCTCGTATAAATACATCTGTATCTCACACACTACATCCTATAAACCCAAAACAAAACCTCTGCTAATAATCTCTCATCTTCTACCTTCTCAATGGCTCATAATAATTACCACTTTGCCATCTTCCTCGCCTTCCTCTCCGCCACCGCTGGTCTCTCCTCCGCCGCGTTGGTCGAGGAACAGCCGCTTGTCCTAAAATACCACAACGGTGTCCTCTTGAAAGGAAACGTCACAGTAAATCTCATTTGGTACGGGAAGTTCACACCCATCCAACGGTCCGTTATAGTCGACTTCATCCGTTCCCTCAACGCCGCTTCCTCCGCCGTTCCCTCCGTCGCTTCCTGGTGGAAGACGACGGAGAAGTACAAAGGAGGTTCCTCAACCCTCGTAGTAGGGAAACAGCTTCTCCTCGAGAACTACCCTCTCGGAAAATCCCTCAAGAACCCTTACCTACGTGCACTATCCAACAAACTTAACGGTGGACTCCGTTCTATAACCGTCGTTTTAACGGCGAAAGACGTTACCGTTGAAGGTTTCTGTATGAACCGTTGCGGGTCCCACGGAACTTCTGTTTCCAAATCGCGTCGCGCAGCTAACGGCGCAGCTTACGTGTGGGTTGGGAACGCAGAGACTCTCTGTCCTGGCTACTGCGCGTGGCCGTTTCACCAACCGATATACGGACCGCAAACGCCGCCGTTAGTTGCGCCTAACGGCGACGTAGGAGTTGACGGAATGATCATAAACCTCGCTACACTGTTAGCTAACACCGTCACGAATCCGTTTAATAACGGGTATTACCAGGGCCCACCAACTGCACCGCTTGAGGCTGTCTCGGCTTGTACTGGTATATTCGGGTCGGGTTCTTACCCAGGCTACCCGGGTCAGGTGCTCGTGGATAAAACAACCGGGTCTAGTTACAATGCACGTGGACTAGCCGGAAGGAAATATCTATTACCGGCGATGTGGGATCCACAGACCTCAACGTGCAAGACTCTTGTCTGAACCAAGTTGATGTTAATGTGGCACGTCGCATAGTACCGAGAGGAAGCAATGATGGAAGGTCTAGATAGACATCTGTTAGTCAGAACATGTTGCACGCGCGCGTGGTGGTTACACTCTCTCGGGTTTGGATTGTGGATAGAGTTTTCTTTGTTTTTGTTGTTTTGTTGTGACGTGTAAAGTATGTGCTTGGGAATGTGAAAGATGTATATGCATATATTAATAAAAAAATCATTGTGCTTCAGCTTTGTGGCAGTCGTTTAACGTAATTTAAGAAGTTTATTACTACTAAAAATTAGTTTATTTAAAGGAATCTGACTTTCTTATACAAGTGGGGGTAGATAATAATTTTATATACGTTGATGATTAGGTGGATAAACATACAGATGAAGATGGGAGTATAAAGTAGGTAGCTCTTGGTGATGTTGGGGCCTAAGAGACCAATGTGATTGCGTAGTACATACTCGTTTTATACTACTATGAAGTTTGGAACTAATGTATATAGCAAGGTATTACTTGCTTTTATAGATCTTACATTACTTGTTAACTATTACAAAACATTATGAGGGTAAACAAGTAGGGGTATCAGGTATGTTATGAGAGAGTAAAACTTGTACCGTAAGCAGGGGCAGAGCCAGACAGAAAGTTCATCAGGGACAACATAAAATTGAACTTAAAACCATGGGGGCATTAACATAGATTTTAGCACTTACATCATAAATTGTTTTTAAAAATCAATGAAACTATTTATTTTCCAACAATTCATATGGGGCAGTTGCCCCCTTATCTCTTCTCTAGCTCCGCCACTGACCATAAGATGAGAGCTAACTTAACCAATACAAAAACTTCCTAAGAATTTGAGTTTTAAATTTTAGTTATTTTAAATTTCATGAATATGGTCAGTGGGGTTGGTGAGGTTCTCCATTGCTTACCTTCTTTATGCCAAAGGAAAAGTTGAAACATTTAAGTATTACAGAAGCTTCTCAGATTTTATTCCAGCAAATTTTGTATCTGCATTTGAATGTTGTATATGTACACTTTTGAACCGACAGTCACATTATATGTAATTTATGTATCAATAGTATCTAATACTTCCTAAACTTGATTAAGCTGTAGTGGATCCGGACTTTTCGGCTATAAGCTAGTGAGGATAATGTTAAAATAAAAGTTGCTTTATTATAGGGTTGCGAGTTTACGACACATGAAAAGCTTCGTAAACAAGACTAGAGGTTTTATTAATTAAGAAAGGAGAACAGTGGATGACAGTATGAAATTGAGAAAATTTATGAAAACATGCAATTTTCGACAATGGTATTGTGGTTATGTGAATAGTTATCTTCTTTTAGTTTTTATGGAAATAGAAAATGTTGTCACTGTTAAAAAACTAACGTGTATAGTATATTTTTTGTTCATGACAGATTTTAAGAGTATACATGATGAAATAGTTCTGTTTTAGGACGAAATAAAGGTGCTTTGTTTAATTAATTACACAAAAGAAAGCTCCACCAACCATCAAGCAAGTTGGTTTTTACTTTATGACTCAACTCAAACTCAAGAGTTAAAACTAAAACTATCAAAGCTTTTGTTTACCTCGGGCCTCGGGTGTGTAAAAAGTATGGGCAAAGCAATAAAGTTTTAGCTTGACTATATGCTATTGCTTTCATCTGTTGGGTTAATAGCATATGTGTTCGCTAGTATACACATTAAAGTTAGATCTTTATAGGCCTTCAAAAAATAAAAATCTAATTATATTATATATATAAACTTTTAATAATCATATACACCTCACTTTAAATTTGTTTCAAAAAATGTAAACAATTGTTATTTTTTCTGTGAGGTAACTTGTGTTTGTATTTAAAAATATTTTTACAAGTTTGTTTCTGTTATTTTTTGTGATGTTGTATAGTGGTCCCGTTTTTTATTTTGTTTCAGGCCCTCGAAATTTCAGGGCCGGTCCTCGGTTGGAGGCTTGCAACTAAAATTTAAATTCGCATGTAGTTTTTTGAATAACGATACTTGTATGGTTTTGAATCATGATATACTACTGCCCCTTGTAGTGGATGCTATGGAAGTGGCTATGGTGTGTCAAATAGATACGGTGCAGGGAAAGAGAGATTAGAACGTAACCATAATAAACAAGTCTTTACTAGGCCTTTTAGGCTTTCATTGTATGTAGTACATTAAAAGAGTATATGGGCCCAAATTATAAACTGGCCCAAACTTGATAACCGACTGACTTGGTCGGTTCAATCATCACTTCATATCCCAAAATTTCCTGCCTATATATAAACCCTAGTTCTCTCGCGCTCAATTTTCTCCACGTTCACCCGCAGGCGATTTTCGATAATCGGTGAGTTTCTTGTTTCGTTTGATCTGATTATTTTTTCCTTCTAATCTGTGTATTCAATCCAATTTCTCAGCTCCAATTTTAGTTTGTTATTGGAGAAAGCTTCCTTTGAGTTATCTATCAATGGCGAATATAAACCCTAACATCGCTAAAACTCAAGAAGAGAGATGGACGTTAGAATCAGACCTCGATCTATTTGATTCCTACTTGATTTCCATCGCAACCAACGATGACGAGGATCATAATGTCGACACCAATGGTATCTCGCTTGTTGCTCAGCGTCTTGCGTCTTACACTGCTCCAAAGTCTATCCTCAACGACGTGGCTCATTGTGAAGATGATGGTAACGATGGTGGATTAAAGCGGAGGCAGAGTATTGCGGAACGCGAGGGTGATTATAGGAACAGGAGACTTAATCGTGTTCTCTCTCCCGATAGAGTTGATCCTTTTGCTATGGGAGAGAAGGCGCCTGATCCGAGCGTTAGAACTTATAATGATCATATGAGGGAGACGGCTGTGCAGAGGGAGAGGGAAGAAACTTTGAGACTCACTGCTAAAAAAATGAAGGAAGAAGAAGATGCTGCCAAGGCACATAAAGATTCTGTTCCTCCTCCTCCACTTTCATCCAAGCGGAGGAGGTGGGACCCCGCTGAAGAAGACGGTGGTGTCGTCCTTTCAAAGAAAGCTAAATCAGTAGCGTTGGATTGGGATGTAGCTGATTCAACTCCAGGGAGAGTTTCTGATGCCACACCATCTGTTGGAAGAAGGAAGAGATGGGATGAGACGCCCACACCTGGTCGTGTGACTGATTCTGATGCTACACCAGGTGCAGCTCCTTCAGGTGCTGCTACCTGGGCCGCGACTCCTACTCCGAAGCGTCAACGTTCTAGGTGGGACGAGACACCAGCCACTATGGCCACTATGGGGAGTGTTACACCTATGGCTGCTGCTTACATCCCTGGTGTAACTCCATTTGGTGGAATTGAAATAGCTACTCCAACTCCGAGTAAGATTAATCAGTACTATGCGGCGAAGTGGCTGAAGGATATCGAGGAGGAAAACAAACCATTGAGTGATGAAGAGCTTGACACTATGTTTCCTACAGAAGGATACAAGGTTTTGGCCCCTCCTGCTTCTTATATTCCCATGAGAATCCCAACTAGGAAGGTGCAAGGAACCCTGACGCCGATGACAACTCCTGGCTACATTATTCCCGAGGAAAACCGGGGGCAGCAGTACGATCTGCCCCCGGAAGTTCCTGGCGGGCTGCCGTATATGAAACCAGAGGATTATCAGTATTTCGGAGCGTTGTTGAATGAAGAGAAGGAAGAAGAGCTGTCTCCTGATGAGCAGAAAGAACGCAAGATAATGGCATTGTTGTTGAAGGTCAAAAACGGAACGCCTGCTCAGAGGAAAACAGCTCTGAGGCAGCTTACTGATAAGGCTCGTGAGTTTGGTGCTGGTCCTTTGTTTAATAAAATCTTGCCATTGCTCATGCAACCAGCTTTGGAAGATCAAGAGAGGCATCTTTTGGTGAAAGTGATTGATAGGATTCTGTACAAACTTGAAGAGATGGTACGGCCTTTCGTCCACAAAATCCTTGTTGTTATTGTGCCTTTGTTGATTGACACCGATTATTATGCTCTTGTAGAAGGGAGAGAGATTATCTCTAACCTCAGCAAAGCAGCTGGTTTAGCTACTATGATTGCAGCTATGCGTCCTGATATTGATAACATTGATGAATACGTTAGGAACAGTACAGCTAGAGCTTTCGGTGTGGTGGCTTCAGCTCTTGGAATCCCTGGACTCTTGCCTTTCCTGAAAGCTGTTTGCCATAGTAAGAAGTCATGGCAGGCACGACACACTGGAATCAAGATTGTGCAGCAGATCGCCATACTAACTGGCTGTGCCGTTTTGCCTCACTTAAGGTCTTTAGTAGAACTTATCGAGCACGGTCTCAGTGATGAACACCGGAATGTGAGGACCATCACTGCCTTGTCACTAGCTTCTCTCGCCGAGGCTTCTGCTCCTTACGGTATTGAGAGCTTTGACTCTGTTCTGGAGCCTCTGTGGAAAGGTATGAGGTCTCACCGTGGGAAAGTTTTAGGTTCGTTCTTGAAGGCGATTGGTTTTATCATCCCCTTGATGGATGCTGGACACGCTAGGTACTACACAAAAGAAGTGATGCTTGTCTTGATTCGTGAGTTCCAGTCTCCTGATGAAGGGATGACGAGGATTGTCCTCAGGGTGGTGAAACAGTGTGTGAGTACTGAAGGTGTTGAAGCGGATTACATCCGCAGCGACATCCTCCCTGAGTTTTTCAAACATTTTTGGGTTAGGAGAATCGCTCTGAAGGAGAGCTACTATAACCTTATTGAGACTACCGTTGAGATTGCCAACAAAGTTGGTGTTGTAGATATCGTGGGAAGAGTGGTTGAAGGTCTTAAAGATGAGAGTGAACAGTATCGTCTTATGGTTATGAAAACCATTGACAAGGTTATCACAAACTTGGGAGCATCTGATATTGATTGGAGGTTGGAGGAGCTGCTCATAGATGGCATTCTCTATGCTTTCATAGAACAGACAAGCAACTACGATTTTAATAATGTGATGCTTAATGGATTTGCTGCTGTAGTGAATGGCCTTGGTATGCGTGTAAAGCCTTACCTTCCTCAGATCTGTGGTACCATCAAGTGGCGGTTAAACAACAAGAGTGCAAAGGTGAGACAGCAAGCCGCTGATCTCATCTCTAGAATCGCTGTTGTAATGAAACAATGTGGAGAGGAGCCGTTGATGGGACATTTAGGTGTTGTCTTGTACGAGTATCTTGGAGAAGAGTTCCCTGAAGTCTTGGGATCAATTCTTGGAGCTTTAAAAGCTATAGTCAATGTGATTGGTATGACAAAGATGACTCCACCTATTAAAGATCTGCTTCCAAGACTAACTCCGGTTTTAAAGAACAGACACGAGAAAGTGCAAGAGAATTGTATCGATCTCGTTGGCAGGATCGCTGATCGTGGCGCTGAGTTTGTTCCAGCGAGAGAATGGATGAGAATCTGTTTCGAGCTTGTTGAAATGCTCAAAGCTCATAAGAAAGGTATACGCCGCGCAACGGTCAACACTTTCGGGTACATAGCTAAAGCCATTGGACCACAAGACGTGTTAGCAACGTTACTGAACAATCTCAAAGTCCAAGAACGCCAGAACCGTGTTTGCACAACAGTCGCTCTCGCTATAATCGCTGAAACATGCTCTCCGTTCACAGTCTTACCCGCTTTGATGAACGAGTACCGTGTCCCAGAGCTCAACGTGCAAAACGGCGTCCTGAAATCACTCTCTTTTCTCTTCGAGTATATTGGAGAAACAGGGAAAGATTACATATACGCAGTCACGCCGTTGCTCGAAGAGGCGCTCATGGACAGAGATTTGGTTCACAGACAAACCGCGGCTTCAGCGGTGAAACACATGGCTTTAGGTGTAGCTGGTTTGGGTTGTGAAGACGCTTTGATTCACTTGCTTAACTTGATATGGCCTAATATTTTCGAGACGTCTCCTCACGTCGCCAGCGCTGTGATGGAAGCCATTGAAGGAATGAGAGTTGCGTTAGGTGCAGCGGTTATATTGAACTATTGTTTGCAGGGTTTGTTTCATCCGGCTCGTAAAGTCCGTGAAGTGTATTGGAAGATTTACAATTCGCTTTACATCGGTGCTCAAGACACGCTTGTTGCTGCTTACCCGGTGTTTGAGAGTGAGCAGACCAATGTTTGTAGCCGACCAGAGTTAACTATGTCCATCTGAAGGAAAGTATAAGACGTACTCTTTACACCCTAAGTCTTTTATTTTACTTGCTAGCCAATAGGCTTTTGTTGCATAAGGTTTGCTTTGTATAAAACTCAAAACGCTGAAACGCTTATTTAATGCGTATTACTAAACTTATGTCATTTTGTAATGCAGGAAATAAAGTTGAAGCTTCAATGGCTCCCAAATTACTTATTGTGTTGGTTGTGTTATTGTTTATGTAGTTTCTTGTTTGTTTCGGTATTACGGTACTAACAAAATGAAAGTGATAGAGTTAAAATGGCGGGTTAACGTGTTTTTCATGAGGAAAATAATACCCTGGAAACCAAATGATCAACAAAGAGTTTGTATCGTTGTTACAATCTCATTGTCTTTATTGACTTTTAGATTCATTTCATTGTAATGCACAGGAAATAACGTTAAAGTTGCTCCTAATTATTTTGTGCTGGTTGTATCATTGTTTTAGTAGTTTCTTGATTGTTACGGTACTAACAAAATGAAAGTGATAGAGAATTAACTGGAGGGTTATTGACAAAAAAAAAAACTGGAGGGTTAACGTGTTTTTCATGAAAAAAAACACCCTCGAAAACAAATGATCAAATCGTTACAAGCAGCTTCTGTTGATATCAATAATAGTTCTTAATAGAGACCCAAGAACTTCCACCAGAAAGTTCCAACTACTCCCCAGATGATCGCATTAATGGTAGCCATCACGAACCCAATCTTGAATACATCAGGTAGATCAACATAACCCGCTGCAAAAATGCAAAAATATACAAAAGTTAAAAGAGACTTTCAACATAAAGAGAAACAGAGTTTTGTTTATAAGTTACCTCCATAGTAGACAGCGGCTTGGCCACTACTGTAATGAGTCAAAGCACCAAAAAGATTCGTGTTATACGCTAAAGCAAGTGCAGCTAATATGCCTGGAACACCTGCTGCTATATTCATAGCCAAGAAAGCTGAGAAGAGAGCTCCAACGTGACCAGTCTGGCTCGCGAAAAGGTAGTGAATGAAGAAGTAAGCTGCTTGTAAAAGACCAAACGCAGCAGGCCAGCTCAAGGAGAGAGACTGTAAAACTTTGGCTACACAATCAGACATCCACGACACAACACCGAGGTTCGTGAGCTGTCCCGCCATCCCCACCAAGACAGCAAACCAAGCTAATGTGTCCCATGCTGATTTTTCGCTAAGGCAATCGTCCCAGTTGAGTACACCAAGGAGAAGAAGTATGGAAAGACCAATCATTGCAGCTACAACACTTGGTATTCCCAGAGTCTCTCTACATATATATAACATTACTAACCATGACTATGTTCAAATTTAAATACATATTAACATCGATAGTTATCAAACACTAACCCGCAAATCCAAAGAGTGACGGCAAGAAGCATTGTACCGACCATGATCCATTCGTTTTTAGTAACAGGGCCCATCTGTTTGAGTTTCAATGCAGCAATACCAGGAGCATCAGGTGTGTCCTTGGTCTCTGGAGGATAAAGCTTATAGAGGATTAGTGGAGTACAGAGAAGTGATATGATTGCAGGTAGACTAGCTGCCTTAAACCAAGAAACCCACGGGTTTGCAATCACTACTCCAAGCTCCTCGGCTAACTTGAGGCACAGCAAGTTTTGAGCTGCTGCAGTCAAGAAAAGAGCACTAGAGTTTCCAGCACACTGTCAAAAGCTCACAAAACACAAACAGAGATAAGCAAAGATCAACTAAGTTTATATACTCCATAAATATATTATATGTCTAAGTATCCAATTATATATAAATAACTATTATACCTTATGTTTTGTTTTTAAATTATGTTTTTCACTTCAGCTATATCCGAACCGAACTGATATAACCCCAATCGGAACAATATATGGTTACTTTATGAGTTTCAAGACATGGAATTACAAATTAGAACTTGATTATTCTCTGATCCTGACCCGTACTTAGAGCATCTCAAACCCCACTCCATAATTTACTGCAAAATGGAAGGATCTCCAACCCACTCCATAATTTATGGCAAAATGGAATGATAACAAACAAAAAAGGGATTACTCCACAATTAGAGTAATGAGTTTTTTGTTTGTTTATCAAACCATTTTCCACTCAATTTTGCAGTAAATTATGGGGTGGAGTTGGAGATGCTCTTATAGAATATTAGAATCGGACCTATGGGAGTGAACCCGAAAACCAGAAATACCCAATTCGAACTGAACGGAATCGGACCTATGGGAGTGAACCCGAAAACCAGAAATACCCAATCCGAACCGAACAGATACCTAAACACACATGCCTAATTATATATGAACAGACACATAGACCAAACTGCAAACTTTGTTTTTATTTCTCAGCATCACAACACGAACTACTAACTAACCAAGATCATAATCCAATTCCTGACATCAAACTTTCAAACATCAGAGGTAATGAAAGTGCATAAAACAAGAACCAACCTGGAACTGGTTTTGGATCAGATACGCCCCAAGTTTCCTGGAAGAAGCATCACCAGGTCTACTCCCAGCCGACAGCGACAACGACTTAATAATCGGCAAAAAAATGCCACCAGCTCTAGCCGTGGTACTCGGCATGGCGGGAGCAATCAAGGCCTCACTAATCGTAAGCCCATAAGACAAACCCAAAGTGCTCTTCCCAAGCCACTTCACAAAGTAAGTAGCGATCCTATCTCCCAGACCCGTTTTAACGAACCCGCGAGCGAAGAAGAAGGAGATGACGATGAGCCAGATGACCTCGCTCGTGAATGCCGAGAAAGCCGCTGAGAACGACAGCGTTTTGGTGACGATGGAGGCCGTTAGGCCTATGAAGGCCCATGCTCCTACGGGGAGAGGGCTTAGGACGAGGCCTGCGATTGTTGAGAGGAAGATGGAGAGGAGTTGCCAGCCTTGCGGGGTGACTCCTTCGGGGACGGAGACGGCGAAGCGGAGGAGGAGGCCTACGGAGAGGGAGAGGATTAGAGGGACTAGTTTTGCTCCTTGCGGCGGTGGCGGTTGAGAGGAAGAAGGAGACGGAGGAGGAGGAGGGGAGGAGGGTGCTCCGGAGATTCGTGTGGAGAGGCGATGGATTGGTTTGAGGAGAGGGAAGGCGAGAGGCTGGAAGGAGGGAGATCGGAGGGAGATGGAGGAAGGCGGAGATCTCGATGAGATGCGGCGGAGGAGAGAGAGGCGGGAGGGGTGGTGGGAGAGTGAAGCGGAAGTGGCGGTTGTGGAGAGAGAGTGAAGTGCGAGGCTCTCCATCTCCGGCGATTACAGAGAGACAGAGACGTGCGAATTAGTTTTTGTCAGTGGCTTCGTCTCTTGCCGATGATGAGTGGTTGTGAAGAAGACAGTGGAATTTAACTGAAACCTATGATGTTCTTTTGTTTCTTTTTAACTGAACCAGAAAAAACCGGAACCATTGTCAATTTTACCGAACCACGTTTTTAATTTGGTTTGGTTTTCATGGATTTATCAGAAGATTAATGGGTGTTATTGGTTTATGTATTTTAATGGATTTATAAATCTAAATAAAATTCAGTGTTATTGGTTCCATGATTTTAAAATCCAAGTTAAAATCAAGTGTTATTGGTTTCATGATTTATAAATTCTAATTCAAATCAGGTGTTATTCAATCATACGGATTCATTAATGGATTTGATTTTATAATGAATTTGAGTGGATTTGTGTGGATTTCTTTGTTAAAAATACAAGGACTAAAATCCGAAGGAAACTCCTCGGATTTGTAAGTACTTATTAAAATTCACATATTAGATTTGGAAATCAGTATATTTTGCTAAGATTTATAAATTCTATACAGATTTCTAAATCAGTCAAAATACATTAACCAATAACACCCTCGAATTGTAATGGTATTAATGCCTATTTCACACTCATTCAGTGAGATTAGTGTGCATTCATGTGTAACTTCTAGTTCTTCTCTAATTTTTTGCTGTATATTTTATCATAACCTACCACGAGATTACTAGTAGTATCACAAGCAATAGTGTGCTTAATGTACATGCAAAAAACAAATTATGAAGATAAAACAAATAGTCAGACAAAAATTGAGCATGCAAGCTAGTGCCAAGATCATTGCAGTTAACTAGCGATTTGTTTAGCATCATGGAAATTTGGTTGGTTTTGTCCAAGATGTGGAGATGGTGATAAAACTATTGATTATATGCTTCTGGATGGATCTGCGTCATACTATATAAAGGTTAATTCAGCTATATTTGTCGAATGTTTTGATAGGTACCCAATGCGGATCAGCAAGGAATGAATGCAACAACGCTGATCTCTACTTCCAGGGTAGATAGAGATCTTAAATAAAGAAGACGAAACGATTGGTTCAGGTTTTAGACCTTCAACTCAAAGAGAGCAGTTGTATAGTATACAACCGTTAGACATCAACATCATATTCGTGTTAGAAATACCCACAGCATGTAGACATAAACCCACATGTATTAAATTACATTATTTAACAAGAGGACAAATCTCTATAGTGTAATACTCCTGATTTTCTTGAATACGGGAGCATTATGTTGCATGGGTCATCTGACCAAGAAGCGAGGATGATAAGCACATAGAAACGTGCGGTTCATATGTCATGGGAATGGGCTGCCACTCAAATAATTATAATGTTAACATATATTTATATTATCACAATTATCACTTGTACCGAAAGCTCTCTTGGAATCTTTGATGACCCTCCAATCCTATTTATTTTACAATTGTTCGTTCATCTACATGGGAATCATACTCGTATGGTAAAACATACTTGCTTATTGGGTTAGCAAGATTGTAAACATATCAGTTACAAAAAAATTTTGAAAACATCCGAGAAGTCATCAAAATCTCATAACCTATTGGAAAAACATGTAGCATCAGAACATAAGTAAGCTACATATGCTAATAAGACTGTTGCATAAATACATTTTTTTGTAGATTATGAATAAACAAAAATAGAAAGCAAGTAAACTCCATCATTAGGTCAAACTAATTACATAGTGCAAGTGTTTCAAATCAACAAGATTATAATGTCCCGTCCCCTTACGGTTAATGGGTTAGCCACGCCCAACCCTACAATCACTATCCAATTTTTTCGATGTTTTAACCTCACTCGCATGATATCGCGAATCATTTTTCGATAGGTCAACCATCATTTTCACTATTCCAGTTCAAACACTTTTAACTTTGGAATTCTAAACGGATGTATGACCGGAAAAGTAAGTCGATTTTGACGACATAGAGAGTCAATTAAATTCTAATAAACATTTTCACATATCACAATTTCGAATAAGTCTTAGTTCAACAGTTTTCAGTTTTACTGCATAAAACAGTGGGTACCATATCTATGATTGATAAATATATTTCTTATGTATATCTTCATCTGCAATGTTAGATACTAAATACTCTTTTGACGTCTAGAGTTACAAGACTAATAATTCTGTTAAAACATTACTTAAACTAAGCAAATCGAGTGGAAAAGGGGACCAGAGAAATTTCTTGTGATTGTAACAAAAAAAAGGATGCAAACAGAAAAAAAAAAAGTCTATAAAAGAAGGCGTTGAGAAGACAAAAGAGAGCCAACCAAGCAAGTCTGGTCTTATCTCTCTCTCTCACCGAATCATCACCCCACACGCACCCAAAGAGAGAAAGAGAGATCCATTCTCCTCCCACTTCCCAAATTGGGCCGCCACTAGAATAATCTTCGCTCATCGCTATCGTCATCATCCCCACAACTAACCCACTTTTCTCCGCATCTTCCTCTTCCTAAAGCCTCCATATTTATCCGAGATCGTGATTTAAGAATCTTACACAAAGTCTAGATTTTGCAATAAGGGTTTTCCTCACAGAGACATGTCTTCCATCAATCTATCCTCTCCCTCTCATTCCATCACCCCTCTTCCCCGCTCAAGGTGAGGCTTTTCTTCTAAATCTAGCTCTGTTTCTTTGCTCTGTTTTTTTTTTCATCAGTTAATTGGTTAATAAATCTGTAAACTATTAGTAAATTGCCTTCTTTGTGATTTAGAATTGGATCATTAGAGTTGCTTAGTCTTCTTTTACTTATCTATAACACTTCAATGATTTGATGATTCTTTGCAGATTGAGCCAAAAACATCTAATTCAAGCTCTGTTTCTTTGCTCTGTTTTCTTCATCAGCTAATTGGTTGATGAATCTGTAAACAATTTGTAAATTGTCTTCTTTGTGATTTAGAATTGGATCATTAGAGATTCTTAGTCTTCTTCACTTATCTATAAACACTTCAATGATTTGATGATTCTTTGCAGATTGAGCTAAACATCTAAATCAAGCTCTGTTTCTTTGCTCTGTTTCGTATTAGCTAATGAAATAACAATATGTGATTTTTAAAATTGAATCATGATTTTGTTGTTTTCTTTGCAGATTGAGCCAAACTTCTACTACACCTATCCACCGTGTTACTTTACCATCTAACCACCACACACCTTCCTTTTCAATTAAAACCATTACCAAAGTGAAAGCTTCAGTGATCTCTAGTGAAGATGATCTGCTCCTCTCTTACACCAATGGAAACTCTCCCATCCAAGATCCATTACAGGCAGATTCGGTTTCACTTGGAACACTTGCTCCTACTGATTCAGCTAATGCACCACCTAATGGTTTCGTTGCTGAAGATGATGACTATGAGTTGGATTTACCTACACCTGGTTTCTCTTCTATCCCTGAAGCCATTCAAGATATTCGCCAAGGAAAGGTTCGTTTCTTTTTGCTTTATTAGCATTAAAGTTTCACTTTTGTTTATTTGTTACTCCATTTGATTTTAAGTGTAGCTTTAGATTTATACACACATGTTAAGAAACAAAAACATTGAGTTTTGTAGTATTTTCTAAAGAAAAATAACCATATTTCAACTCATAGAAAAATAATTTTGGAGAATATAAATAGTGTAGCATAGAAAATTAATAAATTTAACATTTAAATTCTAAAAGACAGTTATTTTGTAAAGCCTCCATATTTTGTTACTTCATTTCATTTTAAGTGTCATTTTTGATTTATGCGAAAACATTGAAATTTGTATATTTTCTAAAGAAAAACATCATTAACTATACAACTAACCATATTTCAACTAATAGAAAAAAATGAAGAATATAAAAAGTCATATTTTTGCATTGAGATTCTAAAACAATATTTATTTTATAATGAAAATTGTACTCTATAATTATATGGAGGGAGTAGCTTTTTTGTTGATTGATTTGGTGGTATTGGTGTGTAGCTTGTGGTGGTTGTGGATGATGAAGATAGAGAAAACGAAGGAGATTTGGTCATGGCTGCTCAGTTAGCTACTCCTGAGGCTATGGCCTTTATTGTCAAACATGGAACTGGGATAGTTTGTGTGAGTATGAAAGAAGATGATCTCGAGAGATTGAACCTTCCCTTAATGGTGAACCAGAAGGAGAATGAAGAAAAGCTTTGCACTGCTTTCACAGTGACTGTTGTATGTGTCTTTCTTCTCCCTCTCAATAAAAGCTTTTGATCTTTGGTTCTTGATTTTTGAAAGCATTTTATTGTTTTTTTGTAGGATGCTAAAAATGGTACAACGACAGGAGTATCAGCTCGTGACAGGGCAACAACGATACTCTCCCTTGCGTCTAGAGACTCAAAGCCTGAAGATTTCAACCGTCCAGGGCATATCTTCCCTCTCAAGTACAGAGAAGGAGGGGTTTTGAAAAGAGCTGGACACACTGAAGCATCTGTTGATCTCACTGTTTTGGCTGGACTTGATCCTGTTGGAGTATTGTGTGAGATTGTTGATGATGATGGTTCCATGGCTAGATTACCAAAGCTACGTGCATTTGCAGCTGAGAATAACCTGAAGATTGTCTCCATTGCAGATTTGATCAGGTTAGGCCCTACAATAACTTTAAGCTTTTGTGTCTCTTAGAAGCTGAGAGACTAAAGTGTATATGGTTTCTGTGATGACAGATATAGAAGGAAGAGAGATAAGCTTGTGGAACGTTCTTCTGCAGCTCGGATCCCAACAATGTGGGGACCTTTCACTGCTTATTGCTACAAGTCTATATTAGATGGAATAGAGCACATCGCAATGGTTAAGGTTAGAGTTTATCTTTGAGTTTCACTTCAGAACATCTTTGGCGTTTAGCTAAAAGTCATTTGTCTGAAACTGTGGCAGGGAGAGATAGGTGATGGTCAAGACATTCTAGTGAGGGTTCATTCAGAATGTCTAACAGGAGACATATTTGGATCAGCAAGATGTGATTGTGGGAACCAGCTAGCTATTTCGATGCAGCAGATCGAGTCTACTGGTCGTGGTGTGTTGGTTTACCTGCGTGGACATGAAGGAAGAGGGATTGGGTTAGGACACAAGCTCCGAGCTTACAATCTACAAGATGCTGGTCGTGACACTGTTGAAGCTAATGAGGAGTTAGGACTTCCTGTTGATTCTAGAGAGTATGGAATTGGTGCACAGGTATGTTAAGATCTTCAGCATCAACATTGTTTCCTCGGTTTATTACTAATTCGTTTTTAATGTGTAGATATTAAGAGATTTGGGAGTGAGGACGATGAAGCTGATGACGAATAATCCGGCTAAGTATGTTGGTCTGAAGGGATATGGATTAACTATTGTGGGAAGAGTGCCTCTGTTGAGTCTTATTACAAAGGAGAATAAGAGATATTTGGAGACAAAGAGGAGTAAGATGGGTCACATGTATGGTTTGAAGTTCAATGGTGATGTTGTGGAGAAGACTGATAATACTGAAACCATCTGAGCCTTGAGTCTTAAGCTTGAGAACCGAGTAGAACCAAACCGGGGAGACAAATATATAATACTTCAGAAAACCAGGAAAGATATTTGACACACAGAGAGCAAGGCAAGAGAATACTTTTGATATACTTGAGGAAGTTCATTGGATTGGTTTTGTATTCTTCTAGTATGTTCTTTATCTGATTATTTACATTTCTTATGTTACGGATTTTTCAACATTGTTATGTTCCTGTTGAGTAGTTGGATTTGATTTGTTGAACTGTGAAATGAGGAAGCTTTGTAGTGTACAATTTATTAAATAAAATCATTTTCTTTTGCATATGATGTGATTTTGTTTTTTATTAAAGTCTTTTGGGGAAAATATTAGAGTTTTATATGATATTTCTTAGTTATATATGAATGATATTTATTCAAATCTGATTGTTTAAAACTCTCTGCGTCCAAAACTTAATAATACAATTCGGTTTTAAAAAATGTTAAACCATAACTAAAGTAGTTGACAAAAAAAAAACATAACTAAACTATGATAATTGATAAATGAGTTATATTTTTTTGTATGAAGGAGAGAAATTGAACATCTAATTGTCACACTAAAACTTTTGTGACATTTGTTAAAATCTGACTCAGTTACCCTTTTGTGCAAAAAAAGTTGCATTCAAATTTGGAGAACTTGCATAACTTTACAATTTCACTTCAAGTCTCTGGAAATCACTAAAAAATTGGGCCTCAAGGACCTGAACATAGCCTTCAATTTCTTCTACCGGGCCATAATAGCCTTCAGTTTGAATCAACTAAGCTTCTATCACTGGGTGCCTTATTACAATTTTTTTTGTTTGCTTTAAGTTCTTGCAAAATCTGATCTAATTTAATGCAACAAATTTCAGCCCCCAAAGAAATATGGTAATAATGTATGCACAAATACAGAAAGATATCAAACTACATACAGAATTTATTGTAAAGTTTTAAACATATCAAATTATGACAATAAAGATATTTTAAAAAGGAAAGAAACAGAGTGTCATAGACGTTTTAATTATGGAAGTAAATTATAACAACGGCTATGTTTTCCTTTTTTCCATCACGCGTCAAATAAGACTAACACATGTACGCTCGTGATTCAATAATCACATCTGTCATAGAGCCGTTAGCGCCGTGGTCAAGGGTGTTTGAAGCCATACGCGTTCTTTTTCTTTTCCTTTCCCATTAGGCTTGTCCCCACCTTACTTTTAACGCTGTAATATGAAATCTAAACCGTTAGATTAAAGTCGGTCTTAAACATACATCTCAACGGTGCAGATTAACTACACAACTCACAACGCGTGGACCCCATTTCCTCTCTATATAAAGACTCTTGTCCAAGTCTCGTAAACATCATAACGATTAAGACAACTCTCCTTAAAAGAAAAACATTCCAAAAACTTTTAAGTCCTCTCTCTCTTTGATAATGGCTTTCTCGAAATCTCTAGGGCTCCTTCTCCTCGCCGCTCTCTTCGTCTCCTTCACGGTGGCTCAATCTCCGTCACCAGCACCGGCTCCATCTAACGCAGGGAGGAGAATCTCACCGGCGCATTCACCTAAGAGAGCGTTGTCTCCTGCATCAGCTGTTTCTCCTACTCCTCAAAACGCTTTGACTCCAGAGTCTTCCTCCTCTCCTCCATCGCCACCTTCAGCTGATTCTCCGGCTCTTTCTCCTTCTTCGATCTCTGACTCTCCCGTTCAAGCTCCTGCTCCAGCAAGCGGCGCTGTTTCTAAGAGTTACGCGGTGTTTGGATCCGTCGCTGTTATGTTAACCGCTGCCGTTTTGGCTATGTAGGTTTTTGGCATGAGTTTTTTTAGAATAAATAATTAGGTATTTATTTATTTAAATTATTTGCAGAGAGTGATGATTTATTTTTTCTTTTATTATATTGGTTTTACTATTTGTTTCTCATTTTTGTTGATGGATCTCATGAGTCATATTAATATATGAGTTTATCAGATATTATTTATTGCCCAATTATTTGCAAAGATTATATGTGTTTACTCTAATAAATTATAAAATATGAACAGTAAAATGCAAAGTGATACAAAATCATGAACTGCAAAACTACAATACAACAAGTAATAATCAACCATACAATCTAAGTGTGCAGCGTAATTCAAAATAATATGGTAACATGTCTTAATTGATTGTCATTTCGATTTTGCGTATATTACTTTCTTTATTTATAATTTAATTTTACTACTAGTAAACAAATTAGCCCAAGGAGAAAATAGAGATATTTTACTCCAAGAATAATATGGTAACATGTCTTAATTGATAGTCATTATGATTTTGCGTATATTTACTTTCTTTATAATTTTACTACTAGTAAACAAATTAGCCCAAGGAGAAAATAGATATAATCTTACTTCAAGAATAATATGGTAACATGTCTTAATTGATTGTCATAATGATTTTGCGTATATTTACTTTCTTTATTTATAATTTTACTACTAATAAACAAATTACCCCAAGTAGAAAATAGAGATATTTACTTCAAGAATAATATGGTAACATGTCTTAATTGATTGTCATAATGATTTTGCTAATATTTACATTCTCTATTTCTAATTTAACTAGTAATAAACAAATTAGCCCAATGAGAAAATATAGATATTTTACTAGTAAGCAAATAAGCCTGATAAGAAGATAGAGACTAGAGAGAGTATCAGCAATATGATAGCGAGCAGCCCAGTGGATGTTGTAATCGTAATAAATGGGTCTTAAGGCCTTAATAGTAGCCCAATAGATGTTTTAATTGTAAAGATGAACCTTAAGGCCTTAATAGTAGCTCAATACAACCTTCTTAATCATTTAAGAGGTTGAGAACACTCATCCTTCCTTTGTTTTAGAGCTCTTGTTGGGAAATGTCAAATTGAGAAAGTGTACTGACTTTCTGAGCCCACCAACAAAGACTGAAAGGGAAGTGACTTGAGGTGGATCCTGACCGTTAGATATTGTCTTCCCCTTAGCGAAAAGAGAGCCGTCAGATGAGTAGATCCGGTTCCGACAATTTTACACGAGGCTTTTAACATATGAAGGCGATGTGGCACCTATCACCACCACCACCATAATCAATAATTAGATTTTTTTGTATGTTAGCTCGATAAGATGTGTATGTGGTTGATAATGCTATATTGATTTGCGCCTAATAAAATCACATTATTACAGTTGTGTATAAAAAAAAACATATTGACCTCATATGTTGCAAACCCTCGTTACAATCCAATCAAATATGTGGCCATTATATAATTATGGTCACTCCATACGTGGAGGTAAGAGTTATAAGATTGGTTCTTGAAAAAGACCTGTTTCTTTTAGTACTACAATGTGATTGATACACTTTAAAACCAAAATAACGAAATTATCTGTATAACAAACGAGTTTTAATCAAATCTAATCTACAAATTTTACCATAAAATCGTAATCCAAGTATTAAAAACCTATAGTCTTGAGCCTTCGACCAAAATAATATGATTGAAACTCATCGAGATAAGTGAGGGATTGGAACTGATTAATAACTACCAGTGTGTATGAATGTTGACATAATATTCTTATGGACCATTTCTTCTCTATCACCATTTATGTAAGAATGAACAACCTTTTGCTTTTAATGCTTCCATTTTATTTTTCATTAACCAACTACCACTGAAATGATATCTAAAATTGTAAGCTCTCAAGGAGTTACTATGGTAAATAAATTTATTATTAGTTAGACAAATTTTATGTCTAAATTCAAGCTTCTGTCATACTTAGTTAACACAACTTTCTATAAGCTTGTAAGATCAATGAATAACAAAGAACGTGCTCTCTTTATTAAATCCTTAAGGAAAATCACTCAAAACCTTAAGCTCACAAACTCAATCTATCAAACGCTTAAGTTGATGGCACAACTCACCATCTTCTTATATAGGAAATATAAAACCTAATCTCATTAGTAAAACTATTTCCTAATCACAAAACAATAAGGATTAGTTAGACTTGTTTCCCAAGTTAACTTCAAGATTATTCCCAACATTCACCCCTTTAATCTTGACGTTAACATCTTCAACTCCCACAAGCTCTCTCATCTCTTTGAATTTGATTTTTCCAAGTGCTTTAGTCAAAATGTCTGCCTTCTGCTCATTCCCCGGTATGTGTTGAACATCAACTTGATTATTCTCAATGCATTCACGGATGAAATGGTATCGTTTGTGAATGTGTTTGCTTCGTCCGTGAAACACAGGATTCTTTGTCAATGCTATAGCTGATTTGTTGTCTAGATAGATCACCACTCTGCAACTCGACTTGTCTGCAACTTCTTCCAATATGTCCTGCAACAAGATTGCTTGCTTCGCAGCTTCAGTGGCAGCCATGAATTCTGCTTCACAAGACGATAATGCCACTGTGCCTTGTTTTTGTGAGCACCATGTGATTGGGCAATCGTTCAAGTAGAAGATGTATCCAGTAGTACTTCTTCCATCATCCTCGTCAATATTGTGACTAGAATCACTATATCCAACTAGCTCTGTCTTATTTGTTTTCTGGAAAACGAGGCCGAGAGATGTAGTTCCTTTAAGGTATCTGAGTACTTGCTTGAGTGCTGCACCATGGGATGTCTTTGGATCATGCATATACCTACTTAACAGGCCAACACAAAAGGCCAAATCAGGGCGTGTATGCAAGAGATATCGTAGACATCCAATGTGTCGCCTATACTCCTTTGCATCAATGCTCTTTTTTGTGCTTGCGTTGGACAGTTTTAGACCAAACTCCATTGGAGTATGTACTGCGTTGCAATGTTCCATACCAGCCTCGATCAAGATTTTTTCTGCATACCGTTCCTGCTTCAAGCTTATCCCTGTTTCATGTTGATTTACTTCGATACCTAAGTAATAGGTTAGTAGACCTAGATCACTCATCTCAAAGTTAGCTGACATCTCTGTTTTGAAGTTATATATCATGTTGACGTCTGAGCCGGTGACTAGTAGATCATCAACATAGACAGCCACCAAGAGTATCTGCTCCTTTTCTTTCTTCTGATACAGAGATGGTTCTTTGGAACATCTTACAAACTTCAAGCCTTCAAGTACGCCATTTAGTTTCTCATTCCAAGCTCTTGGAGCCTGTCTCAAACCATACAAAGCTTTATGTAGTTTGTAAACCTTTCCCTCACTGCCTTTTATCTCGAAACCTTCAGGTTGACTAACATAAACATCTTCTTTTAGGTCA